ACATACTGMTGTTGGACAGAAGGTCTGGCTCTCAGTCTCTGCTCTAATTCATCCCAAAGGGGTTCTATGGGGTTGAGGTCAGGACTCTGTGCAGGCCAGTCAGGTTCATCCACACCAGACTCTACATCCATGTCTTTGACCTGAAACAGTGAAATCGYCTTCARCTTGTCCAAAACTCTGCAGCAAGACTCCTAAACCAAACCTCCAAATTCACCCACATCTCCCCGATCCTAGCAGAACTTCACTGGCTTCTGGTTCAAAGTCCTGGTCCTCACCTTCAGAGCTCTTCATGACCAAGCATCTGAATACATTAAAAGTCTCATTTCTCCTTACAACCCCAGACGAGACCTCCGCTCACAGGATCAATATCTCCTTATGGTTCCTCTCACTCACCTTAAGACCCGTGGTGACTGGTCCTTCTCCTCTGTGGCCCCCAGGCTCTGGAATGAACTCCCTTTTAATCTGAGCTCCCTTGATAACATGGTCTCTTTCAAGTCACTCCTAAAAACTCACTTTTTCTCTCAAGTGTTTAACCATTTCACCATTACTACCAGCCTACCTCCATTGTGAACGTTTCACTAATCTGTGTTTTATTGTTGAACTTACACCATATTTTCTCTCCCACATTCATTATGTTTTTGTGTATTATTGTRTATTTTGACCTGCACTGACCTTGTGTTTGATTTAAAATTTTAGAAATTAATTCTTGATTTGATATTTTAATTTTCGTTGCTTATGTGTAATTATGTTTTTCTGTTTCATCTTATTCTTTCCACCATTTTACACTGTTAATGACTGTACAGCACCTTGTGAATATATTTCTGTGAAAGGCGCTTTATAAATAAAACTTTACTTAACTTTGTGCACTGGTGAACAGTCATTTGAAATGGTGAACAAATACTTTTGGCAATACTGCAGATCCCTTCAGAAAKMMCAGGCAATTTTAGCTGAGCCTAACTGTTTACAGAGGTTTCTGTTTTACCATCAGGAATTGATGCAGAACCAACAGATTTAATTCATTCTTACCTGCTGTTATTGATCTTTGTAAATACTTCTTGTTGAGTGTGTTTGTTAGTAGACATGACTATGATAGTTTTAAATGGCATTTACTGTATTTATTGTTGAACTTTTTTTTCTGCTGGAGGTAACACAAATTACCCCATGGGGATATTAAAGATAACTTGTACTTGAATGGAGGTAAAATGATCATCATGTTTCCATGTGGTTGTGGCTCACAGACCTGAACAGGAAAAGTAGCTGCAACTGAGAAAAGAAGCTTTGCTGAATAAAATACGCAGCAATAGGAACATATTTAACTATTAATCACAACAACAACAACAGAATAAAAGTTATTTCTGTGCTGCCTGGTACCAGTAACTGATGAGCCCAGTTTTAGTGGATATGTTACCGTTGTTCAACAACTCCATTGATCTGCGGAGTATTTCAGAACATCCCATAATAATGCAGAGATTCTTAACCTATGGGCCGCGGCCCAATTGTGGGCYGTGAGCGCCACCATGAGGGCCTCAAMAGAACAACAGTTTTTAACTTTGGGCCRCAGAGGGCCGTGGGACCACATTGATTTTGAATAAGGTGYAATACACTTTCTCACCACTAGTAGCAGTAGTGCACCACTCAGATGTTTAACTTTTTTAAAATGTAGAAGAAGAACCTTAGAAACCTGCTGAGAATGGAAACTTATTTTAAATGAAAAGTAGAAGCAAAAATGAAAGTAACTCATCAAAAAACACCAAMGTTTGTCACTAATATGAAGAGCAGCTTCTGTTTTTACCATGTAATATTTTAAAAGTTCAAAACATTATCAAATACAGTTGCAGATACAACTATATTTTAATTTGTGCTTTAAATAAATTTTTATAGTTTATTTTTAAACATTTTGAATGTATTTTAAAGAAACTTTAAACTTGTCAAAAAGCTGTTKTTACTGTTATTGTTTGTCACTAATATGAAGAGCAGCTTCTGGTTGTAAAAGTTTAAAAAGGCTTTATTTTCATTTGTACTTTATCAAATTTATTTTTACATAATTTTTTATTTGAAACATTAAGATTAAACAGTTTAAATTTATTTTATGCCCACAATTTTATTTTTTGAATTGTCTATTTTTGTTATTGTTTATGTTAAAAATATATATTTATATGTGTTGATAAGCCTGAGTGGTCTGTTGACTGACCTTTGTATTTGTTCAAATAATAGTTATGGGCAGGTTACAATATAAAAATGTTTGTTATAATGTCTTGTGATTATTTGACAGGAGTTTTACTTTTAAACTGTAAGTGTTTTTAATTTAGTTATGTTAGTTACAATAGTTTAGTTATGATGTAAATACAATAAAAATTAAACCAAGATTTATAATAATTATCATTTTGATCCATACATTAAATATGTCTGACTGGGCCTCGAGTCACTTTATGTTCAATAAATTGGGCTCTGAGGTTAAAAAGGTTCAGAAACCCTGCGTCATGTACTCTGTATGCTCAGCATAAATCAGGTTTTAAAAAGTAATCTGCCACAAACTGACAGTTCTATCAAATCAGGTGATCCCAGCAGCAACAGAGAGTCTGAGTCACTCTTTTCAACCAGGTTGGTTCCTTAAAAAAATGCTGATCTCAGTCCTGTTCAATGTAAAAAAGAAAGAATGAAAATCTTATCTAGCAGGCATATCGGGAAAAACCATGTTGCAGCTAATTTGACCCATGTTCCTCCAACCTGCCGGGCAGGACGCATTCCTCATGTTTACGAGTCAACAGCTCATTCTTCCAGTAAGGAACAAGGTAATAAAAGCCACGATCACATTTCTGTGTCCACAACTGTACAGAACATAAAAACAAACCTAAATCTACAACTGTTCTCAGGAAGACTTTTTTTCCAAAGCTAACATTGAAGAAAGAAGTGTTTTTGTCCAGAAAAAGCCCATGTTYGTGTCTCTGCACTGGAATTATTTCTGGGAAGATCCAAACTTCCTGGTCCGGGGTAATAATTAACTTTATGTCCCGGACCACAAAAACCAGTTATGTCCTTAAGGAATTGCTGCTATCACATTTTATATCCTTTTATTGGCATCGGAGGACAAGCTCCATAAATGTCAATATATAATCCACAAATCACAGACTTTTATTCTGAATATAAACCAGAAAATTCACTCGATTACACTCTGGTGCAGCTAATCCAAGGATTATTCAACAATTAATTAGATTCTGTAGCTCAGCCTGCTCCAATGAGGACTGATGTTTTTCTGAAGTCCTGTCATTTTTCAAATAAATGTTTTATAAATGCTGTAGGGAGCTGCTGGAGCTTTTAGTTTATGTTAATCACTTAAATCAAACACAGCCTATCAGCTCGCTGCATTCTTTATACTGTCATAAATATTGTTTTAAAAAGATTTGACAAAAATCAACCATGAATAAATCAAAGAACTAACATCAGCTTTAAGCTACAATCTTACAAATGAGTTGTTTTACTTGAACATCGTGAGATCTGACTGAGCTCAGAGTATGTGTTGTGAAGGACTCTCAGCTACTAACAAACCAATTTTTAGTCTGATATGGGTGAAATTAATGGAGTTATAGCTATTTTTTTATTTTTGAAGTAGGTTAGCTGTGGCGGCCATCTTGAATCAGGTTGACTTCAAAGGTTAATCAGCTGTAGAYKTAAATCAAACGATTAACTCGGGAAAGTTTCATCTAAATTCACGCAGTGATTCATGAGCTGTGCTGCTAACAGACACAAGCATTACTGGCTTTTCCTATCTGCAATATAAAGCTGTTTCTTTCTGCATCATGCTTCTATATGTGTTTTAGTCCTTTA